TAGAGTGATGTCAAGTCATGTGGGAATCTTCAAGGATTGCCAAACCCACAGATGTTGAAAGGAGACGAGAACCTTCCCCTCGAACTGGTGCCCTGGATTTGGATTTCTATCCTCCTAGAGAGGAAATAAATTGGTTTGTTAAAGCATTCCACTTGTATTATATCTGACATAGCAATACCAAATATAACTAAACCAAACCCACTGCCATCAAGTCGATTCCGACTCATAATGACCCTTTAGGCTAGGGTAGGGCCCGGTAGGTAAGGTTTCTGAGGCTGTCCATCTCTGTGGAATCAAGCTGCCTGGGTACTCCCACAGGGTGGGCACTGCCCACCTTCAGGTTTGCAACCCAGCCCTTCATGCACTACAGCCTCCCCTGCGCTGCTTTTAGATAATTAAGACAGGTGGCAATGTGGCATTCCCACTGCTCTTGTTTGTTCTCAAAACTACTTCTTCCAAACTGTTCCTTGACACTATGTTGATAACGTGCCTGCTCTTCACATGAGCTCTGCCTGTCTGAGATTTGTGCTTGTACTGCGCTTTCCTGGCATGGCCCCAACAATAATAGTGCCTTTGAGCGTGCATTGTTACGGATCCTCTTTTGCAGATAAGCAAACTACACCACAGAAAGCAGACTTAATTTCCAGAAGTCACGTGCCCCCGAGGCAGAGCTGAGGAGGCTTTACTGAAACAGATTGAAGGGGGGACTTCCTCGTCAGAAGGACCCCAGTAAAACAGAACAGGTCAGCAGGTGATTCCACAAGCAACAGCTCTTCTGGGACTTTCGCCATTACACAAACAGCGCATTCATTTTGCTGTATACCTTTTCCAATTTCAACAAAAAATGGTGACAACTGCCCAGAAAGTGACAGCAGTTCAGGGTCATTGTCTAGTGTGAACTGACTTCTAAACGGATACATGTGCACGTGGATGCCTTGGGAAGAAACACTAGTCGGGGGAGAGTGGGTTGATGGAGGTTTATGGGAAACACAACTTGGGCTAGAGCTCAGGGAGTGGTTCCATGAGCTAAGAAAGTTCCCTCGGAGCAGATCCGTGTAGATTAGGGTTGGCGAGAAAGAAGAATGCACAGAGAGACTGGAAAGCTTTGAAAGCGACCCGTAGAAGTTTATGTTCGGCCTTTAGATTCATCGCTGGCAAGAGCCTTCGTGCTGAAGGGAATTTTAGGGATCATTGTGTCAGGCTGCTTCAGTTGATGAATGAGGAAACCCATCTTCCAGGAATGTTAAATGACTTCCCCAAGGTCAGCCAGCTGCTGAGTGTAAGAGCCAGATGTGCGGTTTGCAGCTCAAGCCCAAGGCCTAAGCCACAGCCGCTGGGCTCCTGATCTCATAGACGGTGTAAACTACCCAGCCTTCTGCTCACCCCCGACTCACTTTCCCGCAGCAACACTGTGCTTGAAGAAATCCTGAGAGGCAGATTTTGTATTCTTCCTTAGAGGAGGACACTTCTTTTTCTTAAAACAGAAGCTGAAGTGTTAAATAAAAATACAAATAAACCCCACAAGCCCACTATTTTTATTTTTAAGTAAAGAGCCATTAAAACAATGTTGAAAGCTTCCGTAGGATGACCAGATATTGATGAACTCAGAATGCTTGCCGGGCGGGCGCTGCCGGGCGGATGCAGGTCAGAGCTTAGGACGCCTGGTTGGGTGTCCTGCGCTGGGACCCTCAAGGCAGCAGCAGGGCTTTTCCCCGTGGGGCCGCTAGGGGGGTTCAAACTGCTGGTCTTTTGGTTAGCAGCCAAGTGGTTAACCTTTACACCACTGGCGCTCCTTATTTGAAATGCCTAGCCCCTTTATATTGTTGCATTAACCTCCGTAATA